AATGATTCTAAGAAATCTCTCAAAAAGTTCACATGGTTATTGAAGAACATGTTGGTGTAGTAATATTAGCATAAACGTGTCTCTGCAGTGATCAACGGAGGAACACATAATGTTATCGTCCTCTGATAATAATTTTATGCTACCTGTGAAGAGACTTGGCAACATTAAACTATCATAAAAGACAAACCTTTGCAAGTTTTTCCCCCTGCTCTCTTGTTACAGCTCTCTGTTTGCTAAGATCAGCCTACAATAAATAAATAAACAAATTTTCCAACAGATAAAAAAAAAAAATGTCTGAATAAATAAATAAACGAATAAATACTAAACACATAAACAAACAAACAAAAGATTTAATAAATATTAAATAGATAAATAAAAACTAATTTAAAAAATAAAATAGAAAAAGGTAATGAATGAATGAACAATATAAATGAATTACCAGATGAATGAGCAAAATGAATAATTATTTAAAGTTTTGATATTTAACGCGCGCTCTGATTGGCTGATGACTGTGTTTATATATCAGCGGACAGAGACACGGCTTACCGGCAAGAGAAAAACTCACTACGCTCATGTTCCTAAGCTTGCTTCTCTTGTGTTTTTCGAACTCCCACCGTGTTTATATCAGAGGACAGAGAYACACGCGCCGTTTTATAGAAGGGAAATTGAATATTATGATAATAAAGAACAGATAGAATAATAGCAAACCTTATTTCCTAATAGCATTATAATCACATCTTGTGAGGCATATTCATATATTTCAGCTAGCCATGCCTGCAGGAAGAATTTTACAAAAAAAAAACATCGTAATTTATTGATAAAAATTAATTAATGCAAAATATAATTAATATATGAATATTTAATAACTGTTGAATATTTCAAAGACATGGTCGTATGGTTCATGGTGGACTAAGCAGTGTGTCAGTGCATGAGTTTATCATCACGTGTGCCAAGGCACCAAGGGTCRCAAGATGATGATTCATCATTTAAAGTGCAACTGAACTCAATTTTCTCCAAAGATGAGGAAAATCAGCATGGAAAAAATAAGTTTATTTGTGTCTTCATGGGAGTCAGTTAAAGCTTGCTTTTCTTGTGAAATGTCAAATTTTTCATAATTCCAAAATGGYCGTGAACTACTATCATAGGGGCCTGAGTTGAGCCTATGTATGACGTCTACTAAGGAACCAAAGTTTACTCATCGGTTGATATTTCAACTAAGAATTGCTGCAAGTTGGCTTATAATTCAAAGGAGTTTATAACAGGAATAAATACCTTAGAATTTACTTTGAAAGGCTCCAGAAATGTGAGAGGCCCCTGACTTCAAAGAGAGCACATTTTTCCAAATTGGCGGGAAATTCAAAATACCAATAAATATCGTGAATTTATCAAATTCAAAATCTTGTTGCCGCATGTTACTATTTTAATAGGGTAGATTTTTAGTTCAGTTTTTTTTAGTTCAGTTGCACTTTAGATGACAGACATCATTGACAAGTGCAATCAAGAGTATGATTAATGATAGGAAAGGATGAATAATTATTAAATGGACAAAGGATTACAACATTAACATGACCAAAAAATTCAGCATAGTCAACAGGACTGTCCATAATGTATTGCTCTACAACAGCTGCTTATCACATAATTTAGCAGTAAAAATAAGTAAAATTAATGGCACATACCCTAATATTTTCAAATGAAGACTCATTAGTTACATCATATAACAGAAGCAGAGCTGAATTAAAGAAACAACAAAAAATAAAAATAAAAAAAAAACATCTTTTTAGAAAAAGACATAACATACACAGTGATGCAGTTTTGAAATTATAATCTTAATTGGAGTTTCACAATTATTGTTTTGCCTCTTTGGTGGACAACTCTATTCCTGTGTTAAGGCAGAGAATTGGCCTGAGGGGAGGATGGGTTAGGAAGGAAGGMCCTAATCCCTGTGCACCAGTTTTTCTTGGTCAGGACAAATCAACACAGGAAGACCAAGCAGAGAAAAAATMTCTTTTCTTAGGATAAGCCTGTGAAGGATGCTAAAATTTGCTACGTGTTCAAATAATATTTTCTATCAATAACAAATAGAGTAACAAAACAAAATATGATTATTATTTTATTTATTCTTGTGAATATTCATGAAGAAGGAAATAAATATTCTAAGCAATGATCTTTAAAGGGCTACTTGTACTGTATATTGGACGAAGATTGYGAAACATTAGAAAAGACTTGGAAATCAAATAGAACTATCCATATGGGTCTAATATTCATGAAGCAACACATTTTAAGAAGATATTGATACAAATCTTTAATAATTTGGGCAAAAAATGTTGGAGTAGATGACGTCATTTACTCCATCCTTTNTCGATCCTCATCCCCGGGCTTCTCGGAGCGCCATCTATGCTTTCTTTACGGAGACCACAATGTTGGCAGAAATTGAAGTCATAGTCATTTAGATACGAACATTCAGGGCACGGTGCCGCTGGCTTCCAGATCCTTGGCCGCTGGACCTGGAGAAACAGGAATTGATTTAGGAACCAATCGAAATGCTAACAAATCCCATTGCAAAGGCCKGGAAACAAAACATTCGTGAGTGGAGGGAAAAAGCAAAATATCATGCTCGCCTTTGCGCCCAACAAGTACTTTCTCCTGCGCCGACCTCTCGATGATTGGCCACCAATATGGCAGTGGGCTGAGCCGWGGAACCACCACCGTAACCGGAAAACGGCCGTCTYTTAAAAAACGCAACACCGGGCCCGCCAGGACAAACGGCGGAAACACATATGCGTTCTCATCACTTGATATGGTCTGTGCAAACATATTGATCCCCGCTGACCCCGGACACGCGTGAGGTGTAAAATGTCTCAAGGGTCGACCCCTMGTGTCTGTCTGGGCGTTCGTGTCYAATGCCATTAAGTCGATTGAGTGAGGGCCGAACAGCGATTGCAGTTTTGCCCAACACTTGGGAGACAGCTTACATTCTTTGTCAGAGATAACCCKAGAAAGCCCGTCCGCCTGATTATCCTTCGATGAGACATGTTGGAAGCTCACCGAGATATTTTGCATCAAACACATGCTGTGGATT